TGAGCCACCAGAACCACTGCAGTAGTAATAATACTATAATAGACAGAGCGTTGGCATTACGGCCAGCCACAGCTAATATCAGTGGCGAGCAATGTTCTAACCAGTTCTGGGAATGGCCTCTCTCACTTTCATCAAGCCTTACTGACGAGTGTGATGAAGTATGCTTAAGCAAGCTCCACAACTGACACAGCATCATGAAATGGCCTTCATCCAGCAATGCATTGACAAAGGGCAATACAATCTGATATAATACTTAGTATTACTATTTTTATAATGATATTGGCAACAAGTTATTTAACGACATCATTATTACTATTATTATGATCGCTTATACTTTAATGTTGCCCTACAATAGTGTAAACATCAAGTCTTTACTATTACAGAACATACAGCATGATGGAAACTTCATAAGCACGAAACAAATCTACAACGACGATTAAAACACGGTCATACTTTTTTTTGTAATCGTACACTCCTTGTTAAACCTGAAATTATGGGAAATGTGGCTTGGTCAGGGGAGTAATTAAAAAAAAAATTTCAACGAAGGGCCATTATCGCTGGTCAGCGTCGCTGGCAAATAAAGTACTGCTTGTTTGAGGATCCTTGGAATGCACGGAGATAGACCGTGGGGATGACCTAAGACTGTGCAAAATTGTAGTCCAGACTTGTAGGGCAAATACAACACTAATCTCTTGTTGGTCTGCCTGGTGACTGTCACTCAAAACCCTTGCAGGCTTTGCTCTCCCGCATGGGTTAAATCCGATGTCAAATCTGTTATAGAACCGTGTATATTTCACTTGTCAAGAAACAATGCCCTCAGATGTTGTTTTGATGTTGAGCCTGCATGCAGTTCATTATGCGATTGAAGTGCCATTTTCTTGGTTCTTTCAGTAAAGTCACGTAGATAGGATCAAAGAAAATAACAAAAGTAACCAAAAAAACTACGACGTTTTGATCGCAACACAAGCAATCGTCATCACTTTGTTTTTTCTCTCTTGATGACGATTGCTTGTGTTGCGATCGAAACGTCGTACTTTTTTTTGTTACTTTTGTTATTTTCTTTGAGCCAATCGACGTGACTTTACCGAAAGACCCGAGAATATGAATTCCTGCAGTCACGAAAGCTTTAAGTCAAGATTGAAAGTGCCATTGCTGTGTATGTCTGGGATTTGCACGCACACACGCACGTGTGTGCGCACACACGCACGCAAGCACACACTGGCACCGAGCGACAAAGAAGGGGGACCACTGCATCTGACATACCGAATGCCGGCGGACACACGCTTTGTCTACAATGTGGTCATATTCTCCTTTTATGTGGATTTTTGGAAGGTGTGCATGTGGATAAACGCGTCTGTAAGAAAGTACAAGTGTGTGGGGAAGCAGCAGCGCAGTGGTTTGTGCACTGGAGCCACGAGCCTGTCGACCTGGGCTCAGTTGCCCGGATAATGTGTGCTTGCGTGCATGTGCAAACATAAGTGGCGTGTGATGTCCAAACCCGTCCTGGGCCTCTCCCATAGATCGACTCGGTCTTAAATGAGTACCTGGTGCTGTGTGTAAATATGAGCTTTGGGGATACATGGCTGGGCGTGGTGCAGTCCACACCTCCCTGTGGTGTGCTGTTCCTGCCTTCATTTTGTGCCCGCCAACAGCACTTGCCCCAACATTCCATGTAGTCTCAAGGGGGGGAATTGTGTTTGGTCTAGGGAAAGATGGTAACGCGTTAGTTCGCGCACCATTGTTCAAACCCAGCGACAATCTCGATTCAATACTTGCCCACGAATAAATCAGTGGCCGGTGGTATCTAAAGTGGTTCTGGGCCTTGCCTAGGTTGACTCAGCCTGAAATAATTACTTGGTGCGGTGTATCCAGACAAGATCTGGGGAGACATAGTCAGCGAGGCATGGTGCTGGCCACACTTCTTTGTGTGCCTTGCTGACCTCAATCGGTATTTATTAAAGGCACTGGCGTGTAATCTGCAATGAAAATCACAAGTCATTGTGCACAAAATATATTTGTTGGTCGTTTCATACGGTTAGAATCCCGGTGCTCTAGGTTCAAAACCTGGATGAATACAGCAGTTATAATTGTACTTTGAGCTTAGCTTTTACATGATCTATATCATTCATTCTAAAGCAGCGGTCCCCAACCTTTTTGGCACCAGGGACCGGTTTCGTGGAAGACAATTTTTTCACGGACCGGGGGGGGGGGGGGAGGGGGTTCATCATTGGGTCTTTCCCCCTTTTCAAAGAAGCTCTCCAGCGACGTTTGTTTTTTACTCATTTTGGCTACTAGGGGTTAGCTTGTGGGCTTTCCAAAACTGTGACTGAGACAAGTGCGCAGTGCGGGATAGAAGCGTGGACGGAAGTGGTCAATAAAATAATGGGCGGGTCACGCGCGGACTCACCCCTCACCTCCTGCTGTGCGGCCCGGTTCCTAACAGGCTGAGGACCGGTTGGGGACCCCTGTTCTAAAGGATAACCCTAATACCACGTGTTAACACAGCAGCAGCAACAACACCACCACAATTTGCATTTATATAGCATATAAATGCGACTGCATCTAAAGATACCGTATAGAAGTCATGGGCTATTTATTTTATAGGGGGGAGACAGTATATCATAGGCGGAGGAAAGAGAAGAAGTTCTTGAGCCTGGACTCGAGATAGGGGCAGGGATTCACCGAGCAAGGATTGCTGGGCGAAGGGAGTTCCAGACTGGGCGGCCAGGAGAGGAGAATAAGTGATGGATTATCATTCTTAAATGCATAGCGTGGCACGTGTAACTCACGTCACATATTACTCAGGAGGCACGAAACAATTCACCGGCTCAAATTGACTCTTGCACTCAAAAAGCACACGTCAAATTGTGCGTCTGAGAACCGGTCACTTAGGATGTACGCAAATTTTACGCAAAAATCATATCTCGCATTATATTTGGGGTGATCTAATCAATGTATGTACACATGTGATATGTAGAAATTGTACAGAACAAAAATTAGAAACCATACGTTTGCATGCTCTTTTTATGCACATGTGTGTGCACACATCTTCTCAGTCAGGCGGTCAACATATACATAATACCTGGTTCTGTCCCGTGACCTCCTGTCCAACGAGCCTTCCACACTCCACATGACATCCTCAACGTGCACCTAGCCTCGCACAACTGCCGTGGTGATGTCGCCGTCACTTAGCGGTGAACAACGGCTGTTGTTGTAGCTATTGTAAATTTGCGGCTGTTGTTGAACAGTGAGGGAAAAACGTATTTGATTCCCTGCTGAGCTTGTACGTTTGCCCACTGACAAAGAAATGATCAGTCTATAATTTTAATTGTAGGTTTATTTGAACAGTGAGATACAGAATAACAACAAAACAATGCAGAATAAGGCATGTCAAAAATGTTATAAATTGATTTGCATTTTAATGAGGGAAATAAGTATTTGACCTTTCTGCAAAACATGACTTAGTACTTGGTGGCAAAACCCTTGTTGGCAATCACAGAGGTCAGACGTTTCTTGTAGTTGGCCACCAGGTTTGCACACATCTCAGGAGGGATTTTGTCCCACTCCTCTTTGCAGATCTTCTCCAAGTCATTAAGGTTTCAAGACTGACGTTTGGAAACTCGAACCTTCAGCTCCCTCCACAGCTTTTCTATGGGATTAAGGTCTGGAGACTAGCTAGGCCACTCCAGGACTTTAATGTGCTTCTTCTTGAGCCACTCCTTTGTTGCCTTGGCCGTGTGTTTTGGGTCATTGTCATGCTGGAATACCCATCCACGACCCATTTTCAATGTCCTGGCTGAGGGAAGGAGGTTCTCACCCAAGATTTGACGGTACATGGCCCCGTCCATTGTCCCTTTGATGTGGTGAAGTTGTCCTGTCCCCTTAGCAGAAAAACACCCCAAAGCATAATGTTTCCACCTCCATGTTTGACGGTGGGGATGGTGTTCTTGGGGTCATAGGCAGCATTCCTTCTCCTCCAAACACGGCGAGTTGAGTTGATGCCAAAGAGCTCCATTTTGGTCTCATCTGACCACAACACTTTCACCCAGTTGTCCTCTGAATCATTCAGATGTTCATTGGCAAACTTCAGACGGGCATGTATATGTGCTTTCTTGAGTAGGGGGACCTTGCGGGCACTGCAGGATTTCAGTCCTTCACGGCGTAGTGTGTTACCAATTGTTTTCTTGGTGACTATGGTCCCAGCTGCCTTGAGATCATTGACAATATCCTCCCGTGTAGTTCTGGGCTGATTCCTCACTGTTCTCATGATCATTGCATCTCCACGAGGTGAGATCTTGCATGGAGCCCCAGGCCGGGGGAGATTGACAGTTCTTTTGTGTTTCTTCCATTTGCGAATATTTGCACCAACTGTTGTCACCTTCTCACCAAGCTGCTTGACAATGGTCTTGTAGCCCATTCCAGCCTACTGTAGGTCTACAATCTTGTCCCTGACATCCTTGGAGAGCTCTTTGGTCTTGGCCATGGTGGAGAGTTTGGAATCTGATTGATTGCTTGCTTCTGTGGACAGGTGTCTTTTATACAGATAACAAGCTGAGATTTGGAGCACTCCCTTTAAGAGTGTGCTTCTAATCTCAGCTCGTTACCTGTATAAAAGACACCTGAGAGCCAGAAATCTTTCTGATTGAGAGGGGGTCAAATACTTATTTCCCTCATTAAAATGCAATTCAATTTATAACATTTTTGACATGCGTTTTTCTGGATTTTCTCGTTATTATTCTGTCTCTCACTGTTCAAATAAACCTACCATTAAAATTATAGATCATTTGTTTGTCAGTGGGCAAACGTACAAAATCAGCAGGGGATCAAATACGTTTTTCCCTCACTGTAGCTATCGTACACAAACACGCACCTTTGCCTGAATATCTCTGTGCTTATGCACGTGCGTACGTTTGCACATGTTACGTAGTAATGCATTTCAGTGCGTGTATTTGCATGTGTGCTTAAAGTGAATGCGTGCGTGCTTGCGTGCGTCGGAGCAGGAGTTTGTGGGCAACCAGGATGCGAACTCGGTGGTGCTGAACCGCCTGGCGGAGGTGGTGATCGCACGCTACGTGCGCATCAAGCCCCTGCGGTGGGTGGGGGGCATAGCACTCCGCCTTGAGCTCTACGGCTGCCAGGTCACAGGTGAGCCTACAAAGTGCCACTGCTCCCCGCCGCGGTCCCGGTCATGTTTTTGCCTGCCGCAGCATGCACGCTTGTCACCTCCATCAAAGTTGTTCCGCGAAATCGACTCCTGAGACAAATTTCCTATCCTCACGATAACATGCGTTGACATTTTGTAAGTTAATGTACTTGCATGTAAAATCATAATTTAAAATAATATATCTGTCTTATTGTTTTATTGCTGGATGGGTGTCCCTACACTGTGTCAGTCACGGGAGTTTGTTTAACCATGCTTTATCACACCGTTCAGTGAATGTCGGTAACCCACCACACCATTCAGATATGACTCGCCACTGACGTTACCCATTGCCCAGGATCGAACTTGAGTCACCTGGTTTGTAGCTCAGTGCTTTAACCACTGCGCTCCCCAGAACATCCTTACTGAGCTCAAAACTCTTTTTTAATAAGCATCCTCATTGGGATGTTTTCGCTAATTTGGTTAACGAGTGGTTTGGTATGTGGGAAGAAAATCAATCACGCATACGATGGGGTTACAAAGCCCTGCACAGGTTAAATAATGAATTGCTGTGCCGTCATCTCCAAGAAACTTCAAAGCCCAAGCCTCATAATACCCATGCAGTCTCCCATTGAAACACTAACCAGGCTAAACAGCTGCGAAGCTTCTGAGATCCGATGAGATCGGGTATAATCACGCCGATTTGGAGATTGAAAAAAGCGTAATATTGGTTGGTGATCATAGTGGTTATCAGAAGTGGGTGGTTTGTCGAATTATAATAATTGCAGGTGGTTAGCAGGTTTTACTTTGTGGCCTCAATACCTGATGAGCGTGGTGAGAAGGCAGGGGAGAGCTGGTGAGACAGAAGCCAGCGCTGGAACGTGGTGCCTGCGCATTGCAATCCCCAAACCTGTCGACTGCAATTGCACGCGTGTGCCAACGCGGCGGGAGGTTGAATCAATGTTCCTCGCCTAGCCTGCTCATCTATTCACACCTCCACGAGCCCGTGAAATGCCGTGCTCAGCCAGAGCTTACCCATGTAGCGTGTCGCTCACTCAGTCTTTCAATTAACCAATTAGCTTATAATTAAATGGGAGTCTATTGAGATGGAATACCCCCCCTTGCTAGGGACACCCCAGATAATTCGTACAGGCAAAGGACTGTTTAAGGCTAATTTGTTGTAATTTAAGGGTATGTTTTTTATTGGATTTTTTTTTCTTTTTTTACAGCCCTTTGTAAATCCATTCTTGGATTAAGGTTATCCCATTACATTACTCTGGCTGGGATGAAGGCTATCGCAGCCACGGGAGTTGTTTAACCATACTTTGTCTGCAAGGACCGGTTCAGATATCACTGGTCACTGGTGTTCATTACCGCAGCGCGCCAAGCATTGCGCCACTGCTCCTCCGTCATTTAAGGTCTTCGTGCGTGACTACTCATAATTATTGGGCCCAGTTCACTCATGAATGTCATCGCCATTGTCATCATCAGCTATGGCTTATCCACTGCTGGATGAAGGCCACTCCCCAAATCTTCACCATCCCTCACGGCTCCGTGACGCCACAATTCATTTCCCACCTGCACTCATGCTGATCGCATCGCTCCTGCATACGTGTAGGAAGATCTCATCACTCAACAGCAATCGGGCATATCGTATTGTTAAGGTGTATGCAGTTTCGGCATGGTGTCCGACGTTTTGCTTTACGTGCCGGGAGGTTCTTCAGGAACCGAAACAAAAACACACTAGGGAGCTGGATCAGGCAAACCGTTTCACCACAATATTTTATCTGGCCCGTGAAGATTTGCACATCGTGATGAACTGATGCTGTATAGCAGATGGCAGGCTTTCGGTAAAACATAAAAATAAATAAAACACCTGTCAGTGGCATCAGAGAAGCACTGCATAAATTGAACTGTTGACTCCATCCCGGCTGGGTGGTGAGCACACTTGGCCACTGGGCTAGCCAGCCTCCTCTGATTGCCCGTCCCGTTTTCAATTAAATTGTGATTAGTTGCCGGCGGAGGGGTGGAATGGCGGGGAGTCGATCCACTGACACACACATGGGGTTTTGCGGTAGCCAGATATGGGCAGTCGGGCGCGGCTAAAGCTTCTGCTGTTTGTACTCAAACCGCTGAGCCCGACCGAATTAAGTGCAAACGCAGAATTTGCAGACGAGGGATTTTTTCCTTTTTGGGGGGTGTGGGGGTGGGTAGTGTGGCCTGGCAGTTTGGGGTGTGTGCATGCACTATAATGCACAACTAAGTTCGTGTTTAAACCCACCCGGAGACCGTGTTTTTTTGCAACTGATAAATACAGAAGTATATACAGTGGTACATCGGAGATCGAACTTAATTCGTTCCAAAACCGTGTTCGAATACCGAATTGTTCGAACACCGAATCAATTTTCCCCATGAGAATGAATGGAAATAGCATTAATTGGTTCCCCATCAAAGGATGCTCCTATTATGGGCAATTTTTACACAAAGTTTACAATATTAAAATACAGTACAGTACATAAAAGCATACAAGAAACACAGTTATAATTAATAAAATGAATGAACATTGAACTTCACTTTACCTGTAGTAAGGAGAGTGGATGGCTTGAGTGAAAGGTGGTGAGGAGGGGAGGAGGTGTCAGTGTTGCTTGAAAGCAGAGTCCCCCTCCATAAACACGTTGGGTAACTGCCCTTCTGGGGTTCTTTCTTCTCTTTGCCTTTTTTCTAGCACTAACTGTGATTCACTTGAGGGCCTTTTTACTAAAAACTTATCAAGAGAGGATTGTTTCTGCCGCTGTTTTAAGATGTTTCTGAAATGACTCAATGCATTATAATTATAAAAATCGCTTGCTCTGCTGGCTACTGCCTTATCTGGATGATATTTTTCTACAAAATTGTGTAACTCAGCCCATTTTGCCATCATTTCCTTTATCAGTGAACTAGGGGCAGGATCCCTTCCCTCCTCCTCCTCTGAAGACATGTCCTCTTTTGCTATCTGTTGCTGCTCATCGTGAAGGTGTTGGAGTTCCTCTCTCGTCAGTGCTGTGTCATGGTCCTTCACCAACTCCTCAACATCTTCATCATCAACTTCCAAGCCCATGGACTTGCCTAAATAAACAATGTTCTCGACCACAGGCTCAGGCTCAGGCTCAGGGTCAAAGCCTTCAAAGTCCCTCTCTGCTACACAGTCTGGCCAAAACTTCCTCCAGGCAGAGTTCATTGTCCTGGAAGACACTTCCACCCAGGCTTTGTCAATGAGATTTATAGCGTGGAAAATGTTAAAGTGGTTCTTCCAGAACTCTCTAAATGTTAACTGTGTATCAGAGGTGACCTCAAAACACCTTTGAAAAAGGGCTTTCGTGTAGAGTTTTTTAAAGTTGGAAATTCCTTGTTGGTCCATGTTGCTGGATGAGAGGAGTCGTATTGGGGGGCAGGAACTTTACAGTGATAAAGGAAAACTCCCCTGACAACTCTTCCTCCAAGCCGGGAGGGTGAGCAGGTGCATTGTCCATGACGAGGAGGGCCTTCAGTGGCAACTGTTTCTCCTGGAGGTATTTTCTCACACTAGGCCCAAACTCTTTATGTACCCACTCAATGAAGAACTGCCTAGTTACCCAGGCTTTATTGTTGGCCCTCCACATCACGCGTAACTTGTCCTTTATCACGTTGTTCTTCTTGAAAACCCTGGGGTTTTCAGAATGGTAAACAAGTAAGGGCTTCACCTTAAAGTCCCCGCTTGCATTCCCACACAGCAACAGAGTTAGCCTATCTTTCATAGGCTTATGCCCAGGCAAGGCCTTCTCTTCCTGGGTGATGTAAGTCCTCCTTGGCATTTTCTTCCAAAAGAGCCCAGTTTCCTCGCAGTTGAAAACTTGTTGAGGAATAAAGCCGTTCACGTCAACGAAGCGTTTAAATTCCCCAACATATTTCTCAGCAGCTGCTTGGTCTGAACTGGTAGCCTTCCCATGCCATACAACACTATTAATGCCACATCTCTTTTTAAATATATAAAACCAGCCTCGGCTAGCCTTAAAAATGCCACTAGAATCTGCATCATCACTTGTTCCTGGGGTGTTTTTAATGAGGTCTGAATGTATTTGCTTCGCTTTTTCACATATAATGGCCTCTGAAACGCTATCACCCGCCAACTGTTTTTCGTTTATCCAAATTAATAACAATTTCTCAACTTCCTCGATGGTCTTACTTCTTTATTTAGATAGAGATGACACTCCTTTTGCTACATTAGCCTCTTTAATGGCTTCTTTATTTTTCAAAATCGTGCAGATTGTCGATTTCGGTATACCGTACTCTTTGTAGATGTCGGTCACGCGGACACCTCTTTCTGCCTTTTCAATTATCTCTTTTCTTAGCTCTATCGTGGTTCTCGAAAACCTTCCTTTTTAGCTTATCACTGCTACTAATCTTTTTAGGAGCCATTGTGTACGGATAGACACAAAAAAACACTAAAATAAATGAAATTAACGAAAAAGTTAACGGAACGATGTTTTGCGGGTCTACACTGGGCGAGAGCTGTGCGTAAACTGGGTCATTCGCCTTTGTCTCGGTCGCCCTGGCTACGCGTCTCGGCCCAAACCGATTCTTTCCAGTTGTTCGACCTCCGAATTTTTGTTCGATGTCCGGGGCAAAAAATGGTCGAAAATTTTGTTCGATCACCGAATTGTTCCGAGTTCTGGGGCGTTCGATCTCCGAGGTACCACTGTACATATGGTCTACGTGCCAGGAATTGGTAAATTATTGAAGTGCTCTTTTGCAAGCTTGAAAATGGCCAGTCTCCTGAAATGTCCATGTCTCTCTGTTAGTTGCAGTAAATAAAAAAAGCGCTGCTAGTTTGAATTAACCTGTTATTTAATGTATAAGTTCAACGAACCATTAGCATTGTACCTTTTCCATCACGTAACACGTAACAAAGATTGAACCTGGTGTCTCAGAGAAATCGGCTGCGTCAAACAACATCGGTGTTTGCTCTGTGAACCCGCTGGCTTCATGGGCTAGCATCCATGCTTGTACCCGGCCACCCGTGCCATACTTAAGCTCGAGTAATTAGTTTTTGGATGAGGCATGTTATTTGCGAAGGGAAGGGCTCACGTTTGACAGGTGATGTCAAAGCAGTGTGTGTATACTGCGGGGTGTGTAACTGTGCACAGTTACTGGTGGGACACATGCCATCACCTAGAGCACATTCTAAATGAGATGCTCTATTTAATTGCACATTTACAACAATAAAATTGATTAATTAGGGTGAACGGCTTGCTGCCAAGATGACGCCTGTGTAGCAGAATTGGGAAATAGGTTACATGCGGAATGCTTCTTTATAGGATTACCGTGCTGCTTTTATATGAAGTGAAATACATTAAGGCTCTCGGTTTACATCAATGTGATTTGCACGCGGATAAATTATTACACGTGATTGGCCCTTATTTTGTACAACATAATAGGGCACTTTGATCATCTCTCAAGTAATTTTATACTGCACTTAGAGGGGAAAAAAAATAGGACAGCCGAACAAACTGAAGTTTGTGATCTGTCACATTTCATTTGCGTTGAAGCCGAATTTGCGCAAAGCCTGTGCGGGAGCCCCCGCGCGTGCGAGACGATTTTGTCTCACTGGCCCGGGGGCTTGGCGAGATACCCAACTCCCGACCACCCTCATCTGCTGTCACGTGGAGATTTATAGCCGGAGATGTCACCCGTTATCAAAAAGCTTGTTTAAGCAGGAATCACGAGGACACGATTAAATGATTTTAGAATCCTTGATTGTGTTAGAACGAGCGATTGTTACGAAGTGTAATGCTATTATCACTGAAAACAGGGGAGCAGATCTAATAATTACGGCTGGTGGCTGGCATTCTGCCGCGGGTTTGTCTAGGCCAGGCCTGGAGAAGGATGGGCCCCGTCGTGTCCCCGTGTCCGTGATGGGAGGAAGAGAGGCAGGATCCCCCTGTTCGTGTTTTAGGACCATATACATGCTGAGGCTGGACGTCTGACGAACGCTTTAATAATTTGCATCACTGACCGATTGAAACGTTTATGAACCAGAATGATCGAGTTTTTAAATTTAAAAGTATATCTTTTTTTACATTTCAAATTTGTTGGGTACATTGCAGTTATCAATAATTTAATCTTTCCATTGTAATCACAATGCAGTCTAAAATGAGACAAGGTGATAAAATTATCGATTCATTGTTTCAATTAATTTCAAAGGTCTATGCATAGCAGCACTCCTGATGACGGCTTCTTAAAAGAGACGTCATTGGGCGTCATGGCAGCGGTGGATTTTACACTTTTTCTTGAAGAAGGGCACAGACGCGTTGGACCTGAAAGTGTTGGTTGGCAAGCCGCCATAATTTTGACGCAAAACAGCTTAACCTCTGAACCTAACGTCCGTCCATCCCCACGACAGACGGGCCATGCTCGGAGTTGCTGGGGCTCACGTCAGGGCTGATCCCAGACAGGCAGCTCACGGCCTCCTCCAGCCTGGACATGCGCTGGGGCGCAGCCAGCGCTCGCCTACTGGGGGGGCGCTATGGTTGGGCGCCGGCGAATCCCAACGCGCACGGGCAGTGGCTGCAGGTCCAACCCTGTTGCACAATGCTGCTGCACTCACCAACCATCATCCACTGCTCACCAATGGCTCCCACCGCTTCCACCCACCACCCCCACCCACCGCTCATCACCCACTCCCACTGCTCACCACCTACACCCACTGGTCACCACCTACACCCACTGCTTGACTGTTCAACAACTGCATCCACCGCTTACCACCTACACCCACCACGTGGTTAATAAAAAATAAGTTCACTTGAGAGGATCTTAGGAGTAGTTTTATGCAGTCTGCTTATGTAGGGTATTTTTTTAAACATGGAGGGCGATGCTCTTTTCTGTGAGAGCTTCAAACGGACAATTCGTCTCACATTATGAAGCCAACATACAATTGAATTACACCCACCTGGGATAACGCTTGAATGTTTTGAAAAGGCTGCCATTTCCTTTTTTAATAAAAAGAATAATAACAACAATAATAAATAATGCTCCCACTCTTCAAGGTGGACCTGGGACAGCCACGCACGGTGACGGGGGTCATGCTGCAGGGGGCCAAGGGGGTCCTTGTGGGGCACCACTCGTCACCTGTTGGCATCGCGAGCCATGGCCACGGCCCCCAGGACACCAAGGCCTTTGTGCGGCGGTTCCGCCTGGCGCATAGCATGGACGGCGTGACATGGACTCGCTCTCGCACATCGGACGGAATCTACAAGGTGAGCCCCCCCTTCCCCCCCCTCCCCCCCAGGGCCGGTGGGCGATACTTGCCTGGGACATGGTAGACGGGGTGCAAACATAAGGCCTCGTGCTTGGAGCCAGAGGTCTTTATGGGAGATGGAACGATGACTGCGCAGGGTAAAATTGGGCGTCAAACTCGCGGGCTGTGGGACAGGCCAAGCCTGTTCCTGTAGAGTGCACTACAATTTGGATTCATCTGACGTGTCAAATGCAACTGCATCTCCAAGATGCTGTGCATAAAGGATGGGGACGTGCATGTCACGAGGACGAAAGTGACGTGTTTCTGTTGTTGTTTCTTAAGGTGTAATTGGAATTATGCCACATGTATAGCTACGTAAGTCGCCCCCCGTGTTTATTTTATACTGTCTGAGTTAAGGGGGGCCACGGTGGCGAGATGTTAACTACCTTGCCTGGTATACAGGCGGTCATGGATTTCATCCCAACTCTGACGCCTGTATATTTGGATTTTGCATGTTTTCCCCATGGTCATGTGGATTATTCTCCGGATCGTCCAGTTTTTTCCTCCACATTTCAAGTCAACATGCTTTTTCAGTATTTGGCTGCTTTAACTTTCCATGTAATAAGTCACTTCATTGAGCTATCAATTTGTGGCCAGATCGCTTCTGAAAAATATCTATATAGCTCAGTGGGCCTTACTGTACCTGGTACAATTAAAATAGATTAGTTTTTAGTTTAGTTTATATTGTCTGTCATCTCTCTATGTTGTTCACTCTATCTCAATTACTTGCTTAGCTTCGAGGCGTTATTTGCTTTACTAGCTTTTTTGCCCATCCAAGGAAGAGTGTATTTTGCAGTAAATCTGAAATATTCAAAAGAAAAATTGTTTAGCTCATGATTATTAATGAGGGGGGGGGGGGGGTTGCCCCATGTGGAGTGACGTCACCCGATAATGGTTATTGGGGAGTGGTGCGGCATGTGGAGTGACGTCACCCCCTCATGGTTATTGTGGAGGGGTGCGGCATGTGGAGTGGGCGACCTTCTTGTGCGTCAGTGTAAATTTCCACGCGGGCATAAATATTAATGAAGGGGGGGGCATCTTTTGCAGTGACATCACGCACGGATGTAGCACTGTGCTGCGTAGATTTATTTTTTACCATCACTTTCTATAAAGAAACATATTTGAAGCGACTTTGCGTAATAAATTATTTAATTGAGCTCGACCTTACTTTGCGTTCGTGTAAAAACCACCCACTCATGAATATTAATGAGGGGGGTGGGCCTCATGTGGAGTGGCGTCACGCGCGGGACACACATTCTTGGCTCATTATATTAGTAACTAGGGGTTGTTCGGGGGCGCCTGTGGTGCCCCTCACAACAATTTACGGCCTTCGGTCAGGAAAGTCACAATTGCACACGAACAACGCATTCACGCAAGCACCCGATGCTCTGTTTTGAAGTTTTAAAATGAAACATTTTTTTAATTGTATTATGTTTTGAATTAGATAATTGTATTTCTTCATTAAAAGCTTATATAATTTTACATCTGGAAGACTTCATTGAAAAAGACATTTCGTGTGAATTTTCTCTCGTCGTTAAGTAGATGGCCTTGCTTGGGGGGGTTCGGTTCGATGCGGACTTTCACCTGTTTGGGATTGCGGGATCGAGATAAGGCGACACGGAGCTGCTGGCCGTGCGAAAAGACCGCCGTCTGCAGATCGACTCCAACGTAATCGAACGTCTGTCCCTGCGCCTCCGTCGTTCATGCAGGGGGCGCGTTTAGGTTTGCAGCACCCCCTGCATGAAAACGACGGAAAGTGCAGCGTTCATCACAGATAGATAAAGTTGTGCACTTATATAAGAGTATAATTTGCATATGCCGTGAACAATCCATTTTGGCACACGCTATTCAATGCGTATACTTTGAACATTGCATGTGCTGTATCTATTTGCTGATTAAGTGATATCACAAGACGATGCGAGATGGAGATTGCAGGGGGAGCCCGTCATCCAACAGTGGATAGAGCACAGCTGATAATGATGATAAAGAATGAGACCGCTGCACAGCTTATCAAGCAAGTGCAATCGCTTGGTAGTTTTAATCCCTCAGCCCTCTAATGATTTTTGGAGGTAATTACCGAAGCATTCCGTCTTGTTAAGTGAAACGTTAAAGCCCCCGTGGTAGCATTCATCTATCTGCATTGCACGCCAGCGTTACGGCCAATTCTTTAACCTTTAAAATTGACCAATAATTAATTTGTAAAGATTCATCAATACCTAATCATTTGTAACTCGTAAATTGCCATATCATCCTTGCAAAATGGAATTAATGTCTATAGGCTTTCACCTGGTTAAATAATTTGCACTGAAATCCATAAAATCGAGGATAGTTTGTGCATTTTATATAGTCAATTTGGAAACTAACGTACCCTACTGCAATTGCTAAATGTAAATGCTTACGATATACGGTACGTCCAATTATAAGCAAAATATACACGCTGTGACTTTTAAAAATATTCATGTAACAAGCATATTGTGTTGTAACTCTCAAGCATAAATCTGGTGTTCTGTTTTCACGCTCATGAGAATGCTGAGATATATTGCCAAACGTTGTTCAACATTGCTCATTAGCCAAGTTAGGCTTAGAACCATCAGTTCACCACCGTCCAAGCCGAAGCTGACTTCTCTATTCGAGGTGTAATAATTCCTTCTATTCAGTCTCACGATTTGATTGAATTTAGGCGACCTCTAGTGGTTGCAGGTGCCATACAAACTCATTACATATACCATACGCAGTGTATACGGAATATTGCATGGGCGATTCTATCCATATTCTTCGCTCAATAATCAATATAGTTTGGTACGTCATTACACCTAAGCTCCAGCATGCACCCTGGTTAAGTAACTCGCAACCATGTAAAAGTTGGCCTAACCAGTCCAGAACAATAATTGGCACATTAGGTTGTGTGACTAGACCTCAGATGTCATATTTTCTGTTGATATTCTGTTTATCTCCCAGAGGAATGGCCAACAGTATTTTTTTAGAGCCGTGCTCATATCTTATCTTATTTAATCCTTTGGAGGGTAGCTTATTATTTTCCTGTTTGTGTGAATTTTTAGAAGATGTTTACAAAACTGACAGTGCATACTTGTGTGTGTCTATGTGCATTTGTCTGTGTGTGTGTCTATGCGTGTGTGTGGGGAGTGGTAGTTGTCGGGGTTCACGCGCTGCGCTATGAACCCGGCGACCCGAGTTCAATTCCCGCTCACGGCCAACACCAGTGACAATTATCTGAACCGGTCCTGGGCTTCCCCTAGTTCGACTCAGCCTCAAATCAGTACCTGGTGTGGTGTGTAAAACATCGCCACGAGGGAGACAAAGGCGGCCGGGCGTGGTGTTGGTCACCCACCCCCTTGTGTGCCGTATCGGCCTTCATAGGTGAATGCTAACAGTACTTGCCCCAACAGTCTGTTCAGGCTATACGTGGGTCTTTGTTTATGCGTGTGTGTGTGTCTATCCTTACTGCTCGCCTTTATTTCTGCAAAGTAAGACTTCTTGCTCACTTTTGCGCAACACTCAGCACTCATATCGGGGGTTTGTGTTGTTGGGCGAAGATTTATCTCTGTGGAGGGACATCGTCTTCTGAGTTCTCCCCGTCTTCTAGTTCGATAAATAATGCCCTTTATTCTTCCAGTAAAGTGCTGTCTCTGTCTCAGGAGGGCCTTAAATTTGGATATTTGGCCAATTCCATTCATGAGCATTTGGTATGTGGGAGTAAAATTGAGTCGCCGGAGAAAATCCATAATGCACGCGAGGGGAGAATGCTCAACACTTCACACAGATGCCCAAATGAGCAGGAAAGCACCAGATCAGATAAGATGAAGGAAAGCAAGGACCTGCCCTTAGAAACTGAAGTCAAGTCGAGAATTATTAACATCCTAAAATCATCTGAAAGTGGTGACTGAAAGAGCTCTGGTCTCTACCAAAGGCAGATGAGCATCTAGCAGCCAATGATACCACAAAAATTAGACGAGAACCCATTCTGTGTCTGTTGAACTTCTTTCACACCGTACGTAGCCAACCGTGCTAATCGGAGGTGAAGTAGAAACTGCACAGTGCTTCACTAAGCACCAGGATCACCGCGACACCGTTACACAAGTTCGGATAAACTGGCAGGAGTTGTTCACCAACTACGAGATCTACAGTGGTAGGCAGGTGAGGGAAAGTTGTGGCGGCATCAACGGCATTGGCCGTGATGACCGACCTTAATTTTTGACCTTGAGCATTTGAAATAATAATTACAAACACTTTACGTGGGCCAGATTCAAGTTAAGTAATGCACTATTGCTGTGGAAAGTTATGGAACTGGATACATAAAGGAGTTTTCAGTGTTTTTTATGCCCTATTATTTTTTAAATGTCGCATTAAACAAAAAATAATTTATTTACATGACACATTCCGTCTCCATCACATATGAACTCCATTCCAGTGCCGGGCACCCAGGAAGTTATTATCGTATTGAATTAACAACTTACTGCTTACAGCCAGCCCCACTACCCGGTGGGCATTTTCATTGGTCCATATGCGACAGAGTCGGCAACTGCTGTACAATAAACTGGGCTATAGCTCTTAATTTATATGCGTGCACCTAAACGCCCTGCTCACAACCACCTTCCCCACTCGCAGTTGTTTCTCTACCAATAAAACGAAAGAGAGCAGAAACGATGTTATACTGATGTAGTGACACAGCGCTGACTGTTGGACAGCACCAGCAACTGCAGGTGGGCACTTAGCGCACACGCCGCTGAGCATATACACGGTGTGTGTGTGCCGGCAGGGCGGAGGAACTGGGGTAAGGGTCACGGTAGACCTCGTGTGGAAGCCCCTGGAACCCTCTAGAGTGTTCGAGAAGGGAGGCGCGGCTAGGGCGGAGCCAAGCTGCGCCGAGGGGAATATAAGCAGCGGAGAGCGAGAGCTCCGGGCTGGCGGTTCTGGGATTGGACTCGTCTCGTCGCCGCTGCCTTCGCCCGATCATTCCGCGGCCAGACAGTATTTGGCTGTCCTGATCATCGTTATTATTAAACGCATCGGTGCAACGTGGACAGGGTCGTGTCTGGGACGGGTCGTGCGGCAGCGGGGTCGTATGTGAGAGAGAGAGAGGGGGTCCGAGTGGTGGCATGAGCTCAGCAACAACAATAAAAAGGGCAGAGCGGTGCCCCCTACGACCACCTCATCTCCGGCTGACTGTGTGTGCGACGCATGCCACTTGCACGCACAGACGACACTACACTTACATGCGTAGTGTTAGGGGATTATTTGGTTGAGCAGTGTTGCTCGGTTAGGATTAACAGCAGCGTTCACCTGGTCACGGTGGACTGCGTTCTTTATACATGTCCTTGCGTTCTCCCCATCGCTTCGCGTTGTGGATTAGAACAAGGTCATTGGTTGACATCAACTAGACCCGTTGTTCTCCATTTGCGTTAGAGTCAGTGTAGCCCCAATCTAAACTGGACTAATTGTAGCCCCGATTCAGTGTACCCCCTATCAGGGCTGGTTGAACTAGGCTTAGCGTATATACAGGACTGAAGCCCACTTTATGAGCATGGCCATTGACAGTGAGCTATGCCTGTTGTAATGTGCTTGAGAAAATAATGCCTCGTATTTACAACACTTGAGACGTAAAAAAACAGCCGTTTCCTACTCTACTTACGATGGTGTATTAACAATGCTAATTGTCCGTAACATATTTGTTATGCTATACACACGCGTACGGCATATTTACATCAAAACTTTTTTTTAAATAAGAGACACTAAAAACCCTTTGCGTGGAAATTACCACACAGCGCTTTGAGGTGCAGTGTCATTTAACAAGGAGAAGAAGAAGACGGAATGATCATCGTTATTATCAAACGCTTATGTAAATAAGAATTGCATTGTGACACTACATCCGCATTGTGCTTAAAATAAACTTACAACACACGCATAGTCATAATTAGCTATGAGCAACAGTGCGGGGACCCTCATTGAAGGATTGCAGAGCACGATAATGAGTGTTTACGCAGACCAGAGAGAGCATCCCGCGCAGATGTCAATACTGTCCATGTTGAGAGAAGCACGACCTTTAACCCGCCCTGCGGGGCGGTCAGGGTCGTGGGCAGGCCCTGTGTGTTTTCATCTGGGCTGGAGCAACTTTCAAGAGAACTCTCGGTTGAAGAGTCCTTCCGCGATTGATGTTGATTGATGGAGCTCGCGAATAGTCGAATGTTTCCCTTCCCGCTCATGATTAAATTAATAAACACAATTTGGGGCTTGAGGTTCAATTAAACTATCCATTTTTTTGTACTGTTGTCTTGTCTGTGCTGACTATTTTGTTTGTCCTGTCTGTACTGTCCATCTAGTTTTTTTTGTCTCATTTGTACAGCCTTGTTACGCCTTGTTTAAACTATCGGCCTTGTTTGTTTAGTCTCTTTCTGAACTTTAGCCTAAAAGAACAAAAATATGCAGATTTTTTGTGTGAATTGCAAATAATACATTTTATACATGTGATTATATGCACATATCACGAGCATAACAACCGCCTCCAATCACCCGATTATTGCGTACGTAGTAACGTGTCTATTGCTGTAATGTGTTCTAGTATTTTGTTCCATGTTTGAAATCACTGCCAGAAGAAAAGTGCTTACCAAGGCGTTTGAGCACAGATGATTAACATAGACATTGTAGGCAATATCCCATTTTCATATATCTGGAGTTCAGTTATTCTCCGTAGAAAGGCCATGTTGTTTTATGAAGTTGATGTTATTTTTAATGAGTACTTGTGCAAAACTGCCAGTGTAGTCTCTTAATTATTTTAAATGTTAACGTGCATGACTTCATGATCATTATATCTGCGTGTGCATGTGTGTGTGTTTACTGTTATCTGTTTAAACCGTCTGCTGAAGAATGTATTACTGCTTGCATTAAAATGTGGACAAAATGCCTCCTAACTCGGCAGTAAATGGAGACAACACAATTTTACGCTCGGAAAACTTATGGAAAAATCACTCCATGCAAAGAGACGAGGCTACTGGCAGCCCTCAAGGCCTGCCGTGCATGGTGATCGGGTTGTTGGTTGTGTCGGTGTGTACCCTGTCTTCAGTCATGTGACAATTCACTCCTCTCCACTCTGAGTCAGTGATTCGATAACAAAAAAAACTCTTTCTTTTTTGTCGCGTTTATAACATCGTGTTCATCTTGTTTCGAGTGTTCTGCCTTGTATTGTACACGTTTGTTCTTTCCACTGGACTAAATTAACGACATAATTTTCATATAATTTGCGTAAAGCGTAAGCAATCAAAACATTTTCCTGATTTTTTTCCCACGTACCATTGAGTGTGCAGTGGTCTAGCGTGGTTGGCTGGGACCCTGGTGTATGGAATGCAATGGACCTCCTGTTCAATTTAACCATTCTTCATAGCCCAGCACTTGGGTCCATCCAGCTCTGCCTGCACACTTTATAGCTACGCCGCTGCTGGTACCGAAAAAATACATTTTAATCGAAGCATCGTTAACTCTGCGACGCACCTCCTCCTGACGCCATAACTGTTGTGCCCTCCCCATCCCCAAATTGTTCCGTGATGGCACAGTACTTCGTGGGAAATTCGAATGCGGACAAGCCGGAGCTGCGTCAGGTGCGGCCCGTGCAGGCGCGCTTTGTGCGGCTTTACCCCGAGAAGTGGTCCCAGAACGGCATTGGCCTGAGGCTCGAGCTGCTGGGCTGCCCCGCGTCCGGTATGTACAGCTTGCGCATTGCTCGCACGTCACTCGCACGTCACTCGCATGTCGCTATCACGTCACTATCACATCGCTCTCACGTCGCTCTCACGTCACTCTCACGTCACTCTCACGTCACACTCACGTCGCTCGCACGTCACTCTCACGTCACTCTCACGTCACTCTCACGTCGCTCTCACGTCACTCTCACGTCACTCGCACGTCACACTCACGTCGCTCGCACGTCACTCTCACGTCACTCTCACGTCACTCTCACGTCACACTCACGTCGCTCTCACGTCACTCGCACGTCACTCTCACGTCACTCTCACGTCACTCTCACATCACTCTCACGTCGCTCTCACGTCACTCTCACGTCACTCTCACGTCACTCTCACGTCACACTCACGTCACTCGCACGTCACACTCACGTCGCTCACACGTCACTCTCACGTCACTCTCACGTCACTCTCACGTCGCTCTCACATCACTCTCACGTCACTATCACGTCGCTCGCACGTCACTCTCACGTCACTCTCACGTCACTCTCACGTCACACTCACGTCGCTCTCACGTCACTCGCACGTCACTCTCACGTCACTCTCACGTCACTCTCACGTCACTCTCACATCACTCTCACGTCACTCTCACGTCACTCTCACGTCGCTATCACGTCACTCTCACGTCACTCTCACATCACTCTCACGTCACTCTCACGTCACTCTCACGTCACTATCACGTCGCTCTCACGTCACTCTCACGTCACTCTCACGTCACTATCACGTCACTCTCACGTCACTCTCACGTCGCTATCACGTCGCTCTCACGTCACACTCACGTCACTCTGACGTCACTCTCACGTCGCTCTCACGTCGCTCTCACGTCGCTCTGACGTCGCTCTCACGTCGCTCTCACGTCGCTATCACGTCGCTCTCACGTCGCTCTCACGTCACACTCACGTCGCTATCACGTCGCTCTGACGGCACTCTCACGTCGCTCTCACGTCGCTCTCACGTCGCTCTGACGTCGCTCTCACGTCGCTCTCACGTCGCTCTCACGTCGCTATCACGTCGCTATCACGTCACTCTCACGTCGCTCTCACGTCGCTATCACGTCGCTATCACGTCACTCTTACGTCACTCTCACGTCACTCTCACGTCGCTCTCACATCGCTCTGACGTCGCTCTCACGTCACTCTCACGTCGCTCTCACGTCGCTCTCACGTCGCTCTGACGTCGCTCTCACGTCGCTCTCACGTCACACTCACGTCGCTATCACGTCACTCTCACGTCACTCTCACGTCACTATCACGTCGCTCTCACGTCGCTCTCACGTCACACTCACGTCGCTCTCACGTCACACTCACGTCACTCTCACGTCACTCTCACGTCGCTCTCACGTCGCTCTGACGTCGCTCTCACGTCGCTATCACGTCGCTCTCTCGTCGCTCTCACGTCGCTCTCACGTTGCTCTCACGTCACACTCACGTCGCTATCACGTCGCTCTCACGTCGCTCTGACGTCACTCTCACGTCGCTCTCACGTCGCTCTCACGTCGCTCTCACGTCGCTCTGACGTCGCTCTCACGTCGCTCTTACGTCGCTATCACGTCGCCCTCACGTCGCTCTCACGTCACTCTCACGTCGCTCTCACGTCGCTCTGACGTCACTCTCACGTCGCTCTCACGTCGCTATCACGTCACTCTCACGTCACTCTCACGTCGCTCTGACGTCGCTCTCACGTCGCTCTCACGTCGCTATCACGTCGCTCTCACGTCGCTCTCACGTCACTCTCACGTCGCTCTCACGTCGCTCTGACGTCACTCTCACGTCGCTATCACGTCGCTATCACGTCACTCTCACGTCACTCTCACGTCGCTCTCACGTCGCTATCACGTTGCTATCACGTCACTCTCACGTCACTCTCACGTCGCTCTCACGTCGCTCTCACGTCGCTATCACGTCACTCTCACGTCACTCTCACGTCGCTCTCACGTCGCTATCACGTCGCTATCACGTCACTCTCACGTCACTCTCACGTCGCTCTCACGTCGCTCTGACGTCGCTCTCACGTCGCTATCACGTCGCTATCACGTCACTCTCACGTCGCTCTCACGTCGCTCTCACGTCGCTCGCACGTTGCAGCGCCGTTGCCGCGACTCCATCACACAGGAGGTATGGGGCATCTAAAGCTGAAATCTTCTTTTTGTATAATAAGAATACTTATAATTATATCGCACATTTTGGTATTCCAAAAAAAATGATAATGATTAATCTTATATAGCTTTGTGCATGCGAATTGCATCTCACAATCGCTCAGGAACCACAGACAAGCTGGAAGGCTGCTGGGCGGTGAGCCAGCGCTAACTATTGCTCTGCAGTTCCCTCTAAATTAATATATTTTCAGCCCATTCGTGAGTGTTTATACATGTGGGAGGAAACCAGAGCACCCGGAGAAAATCCACGCATGGGCCAACCATTATACAAACACAAAGTAATCATTCTGCGAATGAGACACTGTATGTCAAAAATCGGTCCAGAATTTGCTCGGGATGAGTCAATGCTGCTGGAATTATGCACTCCTAGAAGTACGTGGGGGCCGATGGGTTGTGTATAGAAGACTTTTTTTTGTATGTGGAGGGACGGATATATGAGGGAGGCATATCACGTGATTATATATTTTGGTCATGATTAATACATTTTTACTTCCTGCAAAAGGATGTATTGGGCAGTGATAGGCGATGTGGGTAAAGGATGGATTCAAATTAAAACTAAACTATTTTTTTTATTTTACCAGATAAGACCTACTGAGCTATACATCCTTTTTTTCAGAAGCGACCTGGCCACAAATGATAGCTCAACGAAGTGGCTTATCACGTGGAAATGTATCGCAGCCAAATACTCTCAACACACGTTTCTTAATGTGGAGGGAAAAACCGGAGGACCCGGAGAAAAATCCACACGACCACAGGGAAAACATGCAAACTCCAATTATACAGGCGTCAGGGTTGGGATCGAAGCCACGACCTTCTGTATACCAGGCGAGGTCGTTAACATCGCCACCTCCTCCATGTTCAGTTAAATCGTGGAACATACCTGCACACAACTCTGTTGTAAAGAATATGAAATTATTAACAATACCAATGATGCATCTCTTATTTAACAAGTTAAAGCTGTAATGTACAAACAACCCTTTGTCAATCTGCTGTTGGATGAAGGCCTCCCTGAGCTGTGCCAGTCATCGGGCCGGGGGGGGGGGGGAAGATTGTTGGGCCATACTTCACCACGCTCGTTTGTGCGGGTGGATTAATAATGCGATTGCAGTGGCGTAATCGATGATATAATTATTGAATTCAATTGATTGATGAGGGTTTCTATTAAATTTGCTGACTTATATGTTCCTCTCTATACCACATCTATCAGTCTGGGTTGGTGAAAGTGAGGGCACAGGGCCAGTTCTAATATCGCTCGCCACTGATGGTAGCCGTGGCTGGGAATTGAAGTCAGATTGCCAGGTTCGTAGCACAGTAGGCTAACCACTGCACCACCATTCCCCGTTTAACGTGAATCTAGTTTTACCCCAAAAAATTGTTTAAAATTTCCATGAGCAAACTAATTGCATTTTAAACGAGCATCGCACAGTCTTAGGAGCATTTCTGCGGAAACGCCTCGCATCTTCTGTAGTCTGCGATACGAAAGGAGATGTCCTCTGTACTTAGGCTGACAGAGTGATTCTGCTGCCCTCAGCTGTGCCGGCTTCTTGTTGTTCTTCTTATTATTATCTCTTAGCCGCATGCGCCAAAGAGCACCGAATAATCCCATGCGCACCGTGGCTCGCCAGTCCCCGATGCCGTCTGGTCTCATAAAAAATAAATACGAGTACTGTACAAGAAAGGTAATAAAGCAAATGAGTGAAATCTACCGTCATCGAATGAATGCACGAGCAGAAATTGCACTGTCGACACAATGCACACGATGGGCCCTGCTTTGGAGTCTGTATTCCCGTGAGACGGGAAACCCAATTGGCACTCGCGGAGCATCGTGCTCAGATCTGTAGCCAGCTGGCGCCAGACCAGAGAATCCGATGACTGTGCTTACATGCGTCTCTTGTTATTACGCAGGAATGTATTGCGCTCATAATAATTAGACACATATTGTTTGGTGTTGCTGCTGCTGCATTGGCAGTGGTGCGCAAGAACAGTTAACAAAATAACTCAACGCGTTTGTCAAGAGCAATGTCGCCTTGAAGGAAATACAATACATCATCGGCGAGTTTTTTTGGAAATGGCCCTTCATGTGCTCTGACAGTGGGCTTTAAAACACTACAAACCCGGCCACCCGAGTTCGATTCCCGCTCACGGCCAACACCAATGACGATTATCTAAACTGGTCCTGGGCCTCCCATAGGTTGAATCGGCCTCAAATGAGGACCAGGTGCAGTGTGTAAACATTATCATGAGAGAGACAAAGGCAGTCGGGTGGGGTGCTGACAATCCACCACCCCCTCTCGTGTGCCGTGTCAGACTTCTTCGGTGCTCACAAACAGTACTTGCTCCAAAACGTCTGTTAAGGCTATATTTGGGTGGGATCTTTGTCTTGTCTTGGTGTTTTGTGTGATGGTGTGTAAGTGTTTTGGAAGTGATGGATTGATGATACTTTGTTGTGATGTGGTGATGATGTGGGTGGTGTGTGATGTGGTGGTATGTTGGTGGTTTTAGTTGTCTGGTGTTGTACTGTATAATAATGTTGTGTGATGTTAACGTGGTATTGTGGTGGTGTTTAGGTATATGGGGTTGTGGTATGTGGTGCTTTTCTGCGCGATAGTATAGCGAGGTGATTTGTAGGGCAGTGGTGATGTATGGTGTGGCTGCACGTACTTTGTGTGTTTTGAGTTAGTGCCATCTGGTATCGTGGATTACGTTTGGAAAATGAGGGTTACATTGTACTTTATTTTCAATTTATTCTTTGCATTTATTAGATTATAATGTATTTTGCAGAAATGGTAATATTCACCTCCTGCTTCAGAGGCCAATTTGAGTTTTAAACACATTTCATTATTACAAGATGTTGGTGACCATTTCGAGAAAGTGTCACATCAGTGATCGTTTACAACCTGAGGTATGTAAATAATAATGTGTTCGCTACAGCGCCCTTTACTCCAGAGCATCTCAGGGCACTTTACGTGTGCAATAAGCGACATTCATCACATCTCAATTCGAACAATTGATAGGGAATCCTCAGTGGCAGCTGTCCCTCTGGGCAAAGGGCAACTCAGCACGTGAATGAGCGTCCAATCGTCTGTTTCCATTTCTCCCCCCCCCCCTTCCTGTAACCCTAATCCCTACCCCAACCGGCACGCCGACCAACTTCAAGGCCACGTTCAAGGAGTGAGCCCAGTCGCTGCAGCCCAGGATCCCAGCCTGCACTCCTCACCCTGTCTCGGTAACCCCCCACCCCTTCTCACCACTAGGAGCTTTAACATCAAACAAAGAAATTGCGCAGTGGTTAGCGCTCTGAGTTACGGTGCCGGCGAGCTCAACTCGATTCCTGGCCAAAGCTCATGTTAGTGGCGCGTGATATTTAAACCGGTCATGTGCAGAACCTGACCTGCACTGGCCAGCGTGAAGCATGGCCAACAACTCACATGGAGAGCACTTCATCGAGCAGTGGGTGAAAGTGTTCCACCACAAAGTGTTTGTTAAGAAGCAATTTAAGTAATTTCAGAACTAGTTGTGTGATGTCACCTCCCAAAAGCTGCTTTCTGCACACCGGATGATGTAACGCCGCTTTCCGTGAGAGATCCGAGTGGAAATCTCCCCATCGCAGCGTGGCATGATGCCGATAATCACAACCGGAATACACTTTAGTTGGGAAAATGGATAAGTGCAACTTGGAAGAAACAAAACAAGAATCAATTTCTAATCGTAAGCCAAGATCTGAAGCAATGCCTTTTACGCTACTACGCCTACACAGGCGGTTTTCTGTTTTTAGCTGGCCCGCACTTTGGCCTGTTACAGTGTTGTTGGTTTGTACGTAGGCTGCTCGCACAAACGAGACTGCGTACGCCGCTGGCTGCTGTCCACCTGGGAGAGTGTGCTTGCTGAACAAGTGCCGTGTCTTCCGTTTCAGATTGCCCCACAAAGAGACCCTCTCTCGGCAACAGCTCCAGCCACACAGGTAGCAACAGCTGTCCACCCTCTCAATGGCAGTCACACACGTCTGTATGACATTAAATTCCTTTAAAAAAAGTTTTTTTTAAAACAACGGTTTTATTTTAAAGTGCACTTAAGAGTAAATAACTCGATTGGACAACGGGAAGTGGACAACATCTTGATCACAAGAGACACGTGGCGCCTGCTTCTTGGGCGAGGCGATTCCAGAGTTTAGGGACCGCGGCGTTTTTGACCTACCCAAATAAATATATAATTAATAAGCCGTCCATACAAAATGTTAATTGCTTTAAAAGAGCCAATTAATGCATTAATTGTTGCCGATTTTGATACAGGCATGCATTGATCTGAGTACGTGTGCAAACTTTGGAATTCATTGGACAACAGGAAGTAGACAAAATTTTTATTACAAGATTTGACCACGACGAACATAGGAGTCAAGTGAAGTAAAACCGTTGAAAAAGAATTGCTCCGCTGGGACGTTTGATTAAGTTACGGGTGCAATTTGTGCAGACCTTTGCAAATCCACTGCTGGATGAGGACCCTCCACATCCCGTGCAGGTCGTGGAAGTTATATTTGACCATACTTCACCATGCTGGTCAGTGTGGTGTGGTCAAGGCCGCCAATTTAGCGTTTAATAGTGTGCCACAATGAACGTTGCTTCATTGTCCTCTGCTGCAAAACAAATAGTCCCGCAGCATCCTATAACAACCTGCTTGTGCATGGCGATCGTCCACTAGTAGTAGTAGTAAACATATTTTACTTGGTGAGAACCCATGATGATGGCGGGTCTCTTTTGCAGTTGCTATCTGGTTGGGCAAGGGATGGCTGGTGCATTACATTTGTGTGTGATATCCCAACATCCCGAGTGAAAAACAACATAAATAATAGAAAGAGGAGGAGAAATGTGAACATGAGGATGAGATTTTGCATTGCCGCTCCTCACTTTTGGAATGAGCTCCCACTGTGGTTTCATTAAATCCCTCCTCCCTTCCCTGGCGTTTTAAAAGTCCTTCCTTAAATTAAGAAATCCCTTTTCCTGCACGTGTGGTAAGCGAACTCCCCGTGCTTTGACAGCATGTATCTTTGTTACCTGCTAGTGTTACATGAATGGTGCATGACTTGAATATTGTTTTCCTCCAATGTGTTTGCTACTCAGTGTCTGCAATGTTTATACATGGCTGTAGCTTCCTTTTCATTCACAAGGTCCTCCGTGGGTCATTCTTGCAAATCAGCTTGAAGCTCATTGTTTCTTATCGTCGTAAGCAAGTAACATCAATCAATCAACAGATGGGAAAGGGACCGACCAAGTGACCAATGAGATATCATAATTATAATTATTATTTATCCTGGAGAAATCTGATGAGCTATGAAGCTCTTTTTCACAGATGTCAGTAGGGGCAGGTCATAAAGTCACAACAACAAGCAGTATAAAAAACTATAGGAGTGCAACATTTAAGAAAGGTAAGAAAATCACTGAAAATAAATACGTAAAATAGATTAAGTATATAAGCTCAAATTGCACAAGTACATACATTCCCCAGCAAAACAGTCACAGACCACACCAAGACGATACACAGTCCCTCAATAAAATTGCACATTAAAATTTAACTATCGATACATGGGTTGAGGATGAAAGCTACAATAACATTTGCAAATGCAGTTGCATATCCAGCACTAATCTTCCACTTCAGGATATTTTTTTTGGAAGGAACATTTACGATTGTAAGGGAAGAAACAACGTTGTTCCAAAACGTTGGTGCTGCAATGGCCGTGTGCCACCAGCCAGTCGCAACAGAAGCAGTTGTCTCCCGCTCCCCCCCCCGTGGCTGGTTCAAAGCGAGCGCGTCCAAGCGGAGTCCGTCCAAACCGCTGATCCCAGTTGGCAGACACTCTCAACGCCAGCGCTCGCTGCTCCATAATCCCAAAGCGGACAGCAGGTGGCCGATTCTCTAAGATAACGAGGTTTATTAAATCAGCTAACTAAACGTACAATTCTTCTCTCAAATTAAGCAGCACAATTGAATTGCCGCGCGCATGAGTCAGCTGCTGATGCTGCAGTGGAACTGGGTCAGGGTGGTCGGAGGGGGGCGGGGGAGGGTAGAGGATGGGTGGGTGGAGGGGTCACGGAGGTCACGCATGCTGATGCCTCCATGGGGGTAAAAAAGTGTTCAATTCCCACTAATCGGTTTATTCGCGCAGTCTGTGATTTCATGCCCGGCGTAAGTTGCAAGTAGAAATAAATTATAAACTAGAGATGATTTTGTTTGGTTCTCAGGGAAGTACAATGCCATTTTCCTGTGAACCTTCGACAAATGAGGATCTGTCTTAGGACACTCTGTGACCTCAGAATTACCAGAGAGAGTGGACTTTGGCAAAATACTTTGATAGTGACCTTCGAGATTTAAACGTTGTTGACACCTTGGGTTATATTTGGCTTAGCATTTGGATTTGAGAAATGAGAAAGGTCAAGATGTGGGAGTCACGATGCAGGACCGTAATTAAATTTAATAATCGATACGTTTTTTTGTCTAGTTTTTCCCATTTCATTTGTATTCTTGATTGTCTTCGTTGTACAGTTTCGTTCACTCCTCATGTGTTTATATGTACCATTGGCATATCATTTACATATATTTTGCTCAAATTACAAAAAACTAAATTCTCGCAAGTATGATTCGATGCATATATAGTGCACGTGAGAATCGAATTTAATCAAGTCATTAATGGTTAATTGCATGCTGCTCACTGTTAACATAAGGTATTTCTCCTTCGCATGACCCGGCAGGTGCGAAAGATTTGAGAGGCAATGATGATGATGATGAGGAGCAACAAAGTCCATCTTCCATCACGAGTGAGATCCACCGTGCACTCCCGATTGAGCACCCTTGCATGTTCCACCACGTCACACACGCCACTCGCAGAGCATTGCTCGAATATGTTTGCGCACTGTTCGTCCGGTTAGCGTGAACTCGTTTATCTTGATCATACGAGAGGTGGGCAGTGTTAATCTGGATCTTGAACTGGTGGTGGAAATTCCATGTTCCAAAGATCTCCTTGTGATAATACATTACAGTGCAATTTGATTCATGTATGATCTTAATGTGACTGGATCTCAGTGGGCATTGTTACTGCATAGTCCTAGGCAGAGGAACGACGGAAGATCCCGCGCCTGGATTTGAACAAGGAAAGGGGAGTTGACAGCACAGATGGGAGGGGAAGATATTGACATACCACCAAGTTGTTAATTCACTGGCTGATGCCTATTTTACCCAAGCCAATAGCAATGATAATAACGATGACAATGACGAGCGGTTGAGGTGTCCAGTTTTCAGCATCCAGTGTCCGATTCCAGTGTCCGCTGCACTGTGCTCCTCCCAGGTAATCCGGCCAAGGTGACTCAGAGCGGCTGGGTTGTCGGGAGACGAGGAGCCGGAACCGCCAACCCCTCTGCCTTTAACTCTGCCACGCCGCCCCCAACGGACCCCTGGGCTGCTAGCGACGACAAAGCGGACGACGTCCTGCAGAGCCTCGACCCATTCCTGATCACCGTGATCACACTGAGCACGCTCGGCGTGCTGCTGGGCACCGCGTGTGCGGGACTGCTGCTCTACTGCACGTGCTCGCGCCTGGGCCTGTCCATCCCCGGCGTGCACCACCACCCGAGCCTCTCGGCCGTGCTGGAGGCACACGAGATGCGGCACGCGCGGGACACGGCCGCGACCACAGGCGCCGCCACCACAGGGGCCGCCACCATGACCCACAGCAATGGCAACAGAGTGGGAGGTGGCGGGAACCCGTACATGGAGAAGTTCATCTCTCGGAAGGACTCCTCGCTCGCCTGACCACGGGTGTACCGTGTGACGTCCACCGCCAAAATGCTCTTACTGTGGAGACAAATGACCTTTGCATAACCTCTCGTGACCTCTGCTGACCTTGTGTGACTTTGAGAAGAGAGTCACGGTGGTCACGTTCAGGAGACAATTCTAATTTATTTGCACTGCAGCCTTAATTAATAAAAAATTCAAGTACAAAAAATTGTGACCCTGATGGGATGTGTGCAAATAAGAACTGAAATTGCAATCAAGTTTTAATAAAATCTAAGCGTTATTTAATTCTTAATATAATCAAAAATTTGTAAAAAGCAGGTGCAAATAATAGACTCGTGTAAATAGTTTTCCGTGCCCGTGGTTGCACGTGCCAAGGGTTGTGCACAATTAAACATATGGACATGCGTACATGCGCACACATCTTCGTAAGGATAATTCATATTCAGAACTATAAGGATGCCCAGCTATATGAGGACACAGTATGTAATTTTGGGAATAAAAAAACACTTCTTCCACTTTAAGTTACTCTACCTCGTGACTCACTGAATAATTAAAAGTGTAACCTTTCCAAATTATAACTTGTTGTGACATCATAACTGTTGGTCATTTGTAAACGATTGTAATATTAAATCCATTAGCTCACAAACGCTTGCAAAAGTGTCTCAAGTGTGGAACAAACTGTTTAGATTTGTCCACCCTGGCCCCACTTCCCTCGTAGTGAACAGCTTTGTTTTGAAGTCAACTGGCAATGCCCCAGCAGAGGTAACTTTTGGCTCGATTTAAATCTCATCTCGCTCCAGATCTGGTTGCCAATAATATTTGCTATAGCTTTGTACCGATAGCTAGCCTGACGCTTTGGAGAGCCACTGGCATTCTTGGACACAAGCCATTCCCGAGAAAACACGTTGCCCCACATTCCCTATTCAAGTTGCCAAGCACCGAATGTTAACTTGAAATTCGACAATTTTATAAACGGTCACACTTTGAAAACGTCGTATTTTCTTCGCTCGTCTTCTTGATCCCCAAGCCGTTCACTGCCCGGAGCGCCGTACATGGTGAGAAGAGTCTCTCTAGAATTCTGTTTCCGGAAAATTGGCGAGAGGCCAAAGGCGTATGCTCTGAAATAAATAAACAAAAATCTGCCAAATCACCAGAAATTCTTCAGGCAATTTTAAGACAGTTGAAATATTTTGTGACAGCTTGAATATTCTGTGAATATAGCCAAAAACTTATTATCTCAACGCTCTGAAAATTCAGGCAGTAGCCATTTAGACTGCCAAACAATTAAAAAATCTTGCGTGAATTGTTGGGTTCTTAAAGAGTCAAAACGTAGTTTGATTTAGTGCATTGTGGGAGTAAACCTATATCACCTACGGTATCCCGCACCACCCGTTGTTTTGTTCTGAGTGACCACTTCACACACGCATGCATAGACGCACGCGCGAGGCTTCGTTAGGACGCACGGAGTAGTGTTACGGGCCGCCGGCCTTTGTGCCGGACATACTGTCCTCTTGGGGGGGGGGGGGGGGGGGGGAAACTCTTGCGAAGAAAGGAAACGAAGTGAAAACAATCGAGGAATGCCGCGGCACGTGAATGGACTTGCTGAATTCCTTACGGACTTTTGCGGCCTTGGACCAAAGGAACTCTAGCCACATATTGGGCGTCTTTATTTTCATTATTTAAAATGTTTATTCTCCATTGAGAATATTTTTACAGCAAGAATAAACTGTGCTGTGACTAACTTTTTTGCGCATGGTTTCCTGGTGATGTGGATAAACGCCGTCTGCAATGCATCAATGTCCTAACACAAAATTTCCCTCTAGAACTTGTAGGAGCTCACAGCTTGCCTTACTGATCAAATGACTGCTTTTCGTAATTTAATGCCTAGTATTTATGAAAAAATGATTGCCTTTTTTTCTTGTGTGTGTGATTACGATGCACTTTTGAATGTTACAAAAAATGGTTCTGATTTAGCTTGCAGGGAACGGTGGGAAAGAGGCCTAAGATCTCTGTCATGCAGTTGGGTTGAGGTTTTGTGCCTCGGCTCAAGATTGGGATAATTTTGAGAGGAGTGTATGTTGGGTACACAACGTGGTGCTGGCTGGTGATGTCAATAATGGTTTATTCTTCTTGTAAGCAGCACTTTGTGCCATGTAGGATGGTTGAGGAAGGAGCAGATGTTTTAAATGCTTAAAAAAATGTTTTATCCAATGTTGCAAATGCTTACTTTTCCAGTAAAAAGCAATATTGTGACTTAATAATCATATCAAACCCACGCCAAAAGCCACTATTAATCTTGACGTGTGTCCTAATTAAACCTCTTTGACTGTACCATGCCATTAAAGTACCCGATAAATTGCATTTTCCAACATTATCGTGGGGTTTAATGCCATGAAATTGTCCACCAATATGTCTTATAAGTATGCACAAGTGAGGCATTGGAAGTCCTATTTCTACACGATTTACGTACAGCCATTTAATTTTTCTTTTTAATTTCGCCATGTTTGGTATGGAGCAGTACCCATTTCCAGACAATAAACCATTGACCAAAATGTGCTTAAGTGTGTTGTGAAGAAATAATGCACGGATATCAGCGTGTGCAGATGTGCATGTTAAATTAATTTTGTTTTTACTGGAACAGCCACTTAGTGGGTCAGCATGTGTAAATTCGGCAAGTGACGATGCATTGTTTTATCGATGCAAATCGGTTCCTACACTAATGATATATGTATTCCATTGTACGTAAATAAATGGATCATTTATGGTAATTACATTCAGATGATATGTTCATGTTTAGGCTCATGGCCAACAAACCTTAAAAAAGAGGAAAAACAACAATAGGCTACAAACATGATAGTCAAAATGAGACACAAATGTATCAATGCCTCGAAACGAATCGCGGCCCCAAAGTCGTGACAATTCATCAAATCATTGCCGTTGTTAATTGTTACGTTCCTGATGTACACTGATGGAATCGTGAATTCTCGGACATTGGTGCTTTTGCTCATCCTGGTTTGAACAGAGTACGTGTTTCAACGGACCACACTCTTCCACCGGCAAGCCCTCCTATCCCGCTACTCACCCACAGCCCTCCCCACCCAGCCCCGCACCCCTCCCCCCTCAGCAGAAGCACTGCACCTGCCGACGCGCGTCTGTGGTGAACGCGGCAAGAACCGCGTGCCGGTTTTGTACCCCCCGAGTCGCGTGAAAATTTAACGTTGAGCGGATGCAGCAGGTCGTGGGGGCAGCGTCCTCTTCCATCAACGAGACCGATCCAAAGGTACGGGGTTCCCTGCCGCGTTTCCACAGCTAGGGGAAACCACACTGGCTCAATGCCGTACGAGGCCGAAACAGATCCCATAGGATCTCTGGCCCCTAGGCTGCCTCATTGACAAATGCTACACGTGCTTATAGCTGCGTCGACACTAGAACCAATCAAGCACCTACAACCAATCGTGACCCCAGAACCAGTGATGAATGCCCTCGGTCAACGTGGATGTGTGACAGCCTGACCATGTTAATGTTTGAAACACATCATGGTTTAAAAATATATATATTGAATTTAAATAGTTTAACTCAGTGTTTCTAAAACTCCATTCCTGACGCCCCCAAGCCATATGCCTCTCGGGAGCCATATGCCTCTCCTCCCGACCCGCAGATGAGCATTCACAAGTGTGGGTGATGGCCTGCTTGCTCACATAATGGCATTATTAAAGGTTAATTGAAGCAGCTTGCAGCGGCTGACCTGGTTATTCAGCTCTGCTGCAAGAACTCAATGCCTCCCGACGGTCCATCTTTCTCGTGATTGCCAATGCAGGTACAGTATTCCACATTTGTATGTAAATCAGAATAATGGCACGGCCTACATGTACTTGATTGGCGAGTATGAAAATCTCAACCGTGTCAGTTATTCAGCAGGAAGCAGCCCAGGAGTAGACACGAAGCCCACCGAGAGATAAGGCGACAAAAAATGTACAATAATCCAATTCTGGACTAATTTAATTCTGGCGTTTTACGTTTCAGTTACTGATTTTAAAGGTTGAGTTAGATTATTTTTAATTTAGCATAATTTTGGAAAAATAAATATTTTGCATCTTATCTGTGACGTTTTTTCTGCTGTACTGTAATGGTTTTTAATTAATAAAAAAAAAATCGGCGGATAATTTATTTAGTTATTTTTAACCCAGTTCTCCCCGGACAAAGATACGCTTAGTCTCAATGGGCTGTCGCACAGCTTTAAACAAAGGAAATACTTTGATAAAAACGAGAGCTGAGATAAAACACAAAGGTGGAACATCAACGGTGACAGCATTTAGGCGCAAAAACAATAACTAAAACTTAACCAAAACTCGGAAATGCAACACCAATGTAATTAAACATTGCACAATCGTTACAAATGAGAATATTGTTCCAAGCAACAGTTACTGTAAATTCCAAACGTTTTATTCTATGACGCAGAAGGTATCTCTAACAGCAGTTACGGTGATATAATGTCTAATGATGTATCGATGCATTCATTGAAATTTATTGTTTCACTCGCAATATGCATCGAATTGTGCGTGTAAAGGTCCGTTCTTTGATTTGTGCAAAGAGTATGCCAATATATTATTGGTTCTTTCGGTAAAGTCACGTTGAAGAGAAACAATAAAATAATAAAATATATATAAAACAATAAAATGCTCACGACGTTTCGACTGCAACACACCTGATTATGACTGCTTGTGTTGCAGTCGAAACGTCGTGAGAATTTTATTGTTTTATATTTATTTTATTATTTTATTGTTTCCCTTCAACGGGACTTTACCGAAAGAACCAAGAATATGAATCAAAGCAGTCACGAAAGCTTTAAATCAAAGAGTATGCCAATGTTACGTTTCAGTATACAACTACAAATGAACAATACAGCACAGCTAAACAATAATGGCTGGTGGCAGTTTTGGTGACTCATTATTGGCCATTACCTTTCTAGTACGCAGACCCAATGCATTGTGTTCACGAGTCAGTCGAGTGACACCACCCTTCACACGGGTGGTCCGTTCTGTAATTGAGAGCTGCTGTGCTGAGATTCCAAGTCCTGACTTACCCCCCCTCGCCAACCCACCCACCTCGCCTTTCTCTCGGACATCTGGCACTCAGCTTAAACCGGCTTTTAAAACATATAATCTGAGGCGTAATGGTCATCTGTACCCTAGTGGCTAGTGATACGCAGTAGCCGAAGGACTTTAGATAAAGGAGGGAGGTTAAGGATTGAGTGAAGGAACGTGGAGGTTGATGATCTGATCTCCCGCACAGGATAAAAGCTTTCTGCTAGATTTAGCGGTTGGCAAATGTTTTCTGCGGGCGCTTGCCAATCAACACTCAAATTTAGACCTTTTGTTTGCCGGACCATTATACGCCCAGTTCGAGTCTCATAATGGTAAATGCGGCAATGTCTCATTTGTATCGTTTACTCGGCACGCATCAAGAAAGTGGGATAAAGAGACCCCCCCCCCCCCGAAAGATGTTGTTCAGTTAATATCACACACTGACATAAAAGTGACCCATTGAATCAATGCATCCTGTATATGCATGAGGGGTATCTTTTTTCACTCTCTTCACTCTCTTACACTGACCGCCAGCCTCAGAACTCAATACCGCTCCCGCTGGTGATGCTTGCCGAGGTCTCATTAGACATTCGCTTCATCAACTCAATTGCTATCAATAATTCAATTGCTACTTCCACGCTGATTTTTTTAACATTAATAATTACTGCGCTTCGATCAAACACGAACGGGGTGGGGGGGGGGGATTAAGGTCACGGCTGTGGTTTTTGGGTAGCGCTGCGGTTGATCAATATTCGGGATGGGTTTCCATAGGTTGTACACGGATAATGTCATGTTGACTTAAACTGCAAAAATAGATTTAGGAAAGCAACTTATTGTCCTTTAATCGAACAGTTTTTGGCCAGTTTAACGATAATGGACATTAGTCATAATAAGTGATGTAGAGTACATCTGCCAGTGAGGTCGTAATGACGAATGTTAAAACAGCAACTTATGAATACATGACTGAACTGCCGTACGTAATACACGCAGATAATCGTGGACCAAGTTGTATGTATGTTGAATTTATTTCGCACCGTACATAGTCAACCATGCTAATCAACCACAAAAAGCAGTTCTAAATCAACTAGTTTTCAATTCTAATGGTGTTCTAGAAGCCCTGCAAATCTGAAAGTTGTCACAAATATAGTGGCCCCGAGGTTTATTGGTTTTATTTGTAGGACAGGGTGAGTTCTAGGTTGTATCAAATGTCGTGCTCAGTGCTTAAAAGTGTACGATCCCCGTGACTCAGTGAAGTGGTTTGCCTCCCGTGCTCTGCGTGGCTACGTATATGTGGTAGTAAATTGGGGAAAGCCTGCTCCTCTCATGCGAAGCAGGCCGATGTATAATTAAACGTTTCTTGCATAACTAAAACATAATTAAATAAGTACCATTAACAATGCAAATTGCCAATTAGTTGGAATATTTTGCACAAAATGTATCGAATGTTGCGACGCAAAGTCAATTGCGTTTGGAGGTCGCAACTCAAACGATTGGAAACATCTTTGTGTTAGCCAGGCCGTTTGTTTGAGTCATGTCGCCACACACACTGCAATGGTCACGATACACTCAGGCTAGTTGAGGGCAAATGTCACTGGCAACGCTTTTACCATGATAAACTATGGTGAAGTGCGTTTTGTGGAAAATTATTGGTCGGCAGAGCGCACAACTTCAGTTTGCCATGTGACCTCTCTCTGTGATCTGATTGGAATTTGCCCACCGAGTTACGACTAAGAGGAGCAGCGATCAAAGTTATCCCAGCTCTGGTCAACTCTACATTTTTTTGTTCACAATATAAAAAGGCGCAGCAACTATTGCCAGTGGAAAATTAATTTTCCTAAAACGTCTCTCGTGTCACTTAGTGTTTGTGTGTTCGTCTTCAGCTGCTATGCGTAGGTGATGCGTGTACATTCTGCATGCATCTGAGATACCACTCGTCATCAATTATCTGCACGTGTGATGTTCTGAAACCCCCCCCCCCCAAACCCAGTCCCTAACTTTCAACGTCTCAGCCCTGGACGTCACTCTATACCCCACTTAGCTCGACGGCAGAAACTCCAAAATACGATCACACACAGATCCCTCTAGAAGGACAGGAATGCATAAGGCGACACTCGATAGGATTAGGCAGTGGCGTCGCGATACTTGCTCCACGCTGCGTGCACTAATATCGTGGTGACTGTTTAAACAGGTGTATTAGTGAGCCGAGTGGGAAGGTGCTAAGTGCGACAATGGCTTATACGGGCGGTGGGTGAGCAGGTAGGTTGAACATAGGGAGTTGTGGGCTATTATATTCTCATACGGTGCCAACGCCGGTGTCCGTTTCTGCGGGCAACTCGAGACGTGGAGTTGATCGTGGTTAAGCGTTCATGTGACAATACACTGGGTAGCAGTGTCGATGCGTGTGATTTCAGCTGGCTGTCTATGGTCTCCATGATTCTCTGTTAATCATAATTCAGTGTGATGTAACCCCTCTCTGTTCCATTCAATCCTGACCACTCCAACTGGCCTCCTTTCAGCACCACACACTGCTGAGCTGTGAATACCAGCGTCCAAAATTGGCAAAGAACTGAAAAGGGTCACACGTTGAAATGTGGAGGAGTACCAAGCAGTCTGGAAGTGGAGCCCACTAACCAATCAAATTCTAGACCTAATGTAACCAAGTAGCCAACCAGCCACGAGGACTCATCCT